TTAAATAAGATAATATTAATATAATCTTTAAGAAAATTTTATGTATTGAAGAAAAAGTATTATGTTAAGTGTTCTAAAGATTAAATATAAAAAAGTGAGTTTATATAAGATAATATTAATTATGATGATTTAACATCAAATTGAATTTTTTTATTATTTCTCATTGTACATGCTCTAGTAGACCCTTTCTACCCATTTGGTTTAAGAACTACTTTCTTAAAGTTTTTTTAGTTGAAAAAGTAATTAAAAATTTATTATATAAAAAGTTAAAAGGTATTATATGAAATGTTGATAATATTTATAATAAAATTTAGTTAAAATTATTATTTTTTTCATGTTTAGTAAAAAAAAATTAATATTAAATTTTTTTTTAAAAAAGTTATAAAATAAATCTTACATTTAGAAGGATAACAAAAACTTTTTCATTTAAAGAGCGGGAAGAAAAAACTATTACTTACTAGAAATTGAAATAAGGGAGATAAAACTGAAAATGTCCAGCATACCTTTTGATAGTTATAAAATTGTGGTCCAAGTATCCTAAAACACCTTTGAATTTTCTTGAGTAAGGGGAGAAAGAATTTTCAAAGCTGATGCACCCTTTAAGGTGGAACCATACCAAACAACATAAAGAAGAGAGAAAAGAAAAATCCATTCTATTTTGGCGCCATATCCTACGAAGGGTCTGTTGAAAACTCCACTATTTACCACATCATTGTTTTTAGTAAGATTTAACGGAATGAAGTAACGGTGGGCATTTTTTGAAAGGTTGGGGACCACTTGTGGGACAAGAAGAAGGATAAGGATGAAGCTGTCAAACTTTGGAAATTGTAGGGACGACAGATGATTTTACCCTAATAATAATTAACAATTACTTTATTACTCTAGCTTGGGCAATATTTATAATATTATATTCTAGGGCTTTATTTTGTAATCATGCACGCAGCAGAAGGAAGAAATGCCTTTTCATCAAAGCAAACCCTTTCATGATCAATTGCTAATTTTTCAAAATAAAAATAAAAATAAAATAAAATAAAATAAAATAAAAAAAGGAAGTACAAACAAACAAACAAACCCCGTCATGATCATCTCATATGTTTCAAGGGGTAGCATTTTTTTTTTTTTTTACATTATGATTAAATGCCGGTTATTTGTACCACTAAAAAATTATAAGAGTCAATGGTTTATAATTTAAATTATAATAAATTATTAAAAAATTCTTTAAATAAGGGATAATTCAAATATTAACAACCCAGCATATCCAAAAGTTAGATTAATATAGTTTAGAATAATTTAAACAGCACTAAACATTTTTCATGTAAGAATTACCCTCTCAAATGTTAGTTATGGTTATTTAGGATAGTTGGATTCCTGATTTCTAACATAAAGAAATTCCTTTTGGTGAAATCATAGTTTTTTGTATTATGGATTTGATAATTTAAATGAAGACCTGTTTACCCCATTTGATAAAATCATGTTCTTCTTCTGCAGGAGGTGGAATTGATTCCCTTTTATGTTCACATGGTGGTAAAGATTAAACAATATATATATATATATATTGTGAATCTGTGATTAGAAAAATTTATTAAAAAATATTTTATTCGTTATTTATTTGAGAATCGGAAGCTTGGGAGTTGGGATGATTAATGAAAAATTAATAAATTAGGTTAAATTAATTATTCAATGGATTTTTCTTTTTCAGGAAGGCTGATATTCTTGGTTAGGTTGGTCAACCAAACCCTGTTTCGGTTTAAAAGTCAAACTTTTAGGAGAAAGAGATTGGCTGTTGCCAGGCCTAGCACTACACAACCAAAGGAATTGCAGTCAAAGATTCTGTTAGGCAACTGAACCCTACCAGCAATTCCAATCTTGGTATGATGTTTCAGGATTCAACATGTTATTCAACATCTTCTTTAATCACAGGACCAATGTTTCATTGACACATATTTGTTCTAATATTTGCCAGAAGCAGAATAAATTAATGTCACATTCAATCAACATATGAGATCAATATTTATTAGACAAACTTACAAAAATATTAAGTTAACAACATTTAAAATTAAGCCATTTTAATAAAATAACATAAGAAAAATACTAAAATAATCTCTTTCTTACTTCCAATTCTATTTTAAAAACTAAGATGTTTTAATATTTTCAATGAGAATTGCTGCTCATGTATATTACACTTACTCGATAAATAAAAATTTTACATTTTATCCAAAAAAAATATTTTCAATAAGAATTTATTAAAATAATATAATTTTAGAATATTTTTTCACTTAATTTATTGTAAATACGCTTATAACCACTTTTTGCTCGACATATAAGCAGTAAAAAACTTTAAAATGGACTAGATTTCACCTGAGAGTAAACCTATGTTTCCTACGTTACCTGTGGCATAAACATACTGAGTATCTATCAAATGACAGTGATAAATATTATCTGGTAAGCTACAAAATCATCTTGCAGATGGGACCATGCAACCATTTGATAGGTCAGAGCTCTCTATTTCAAGAAAGCTTGTCAGCAACGTTTTCCGGGAAGATTGACCCCTGGAACCACCAGAGCCTGATTTCTGACCGTCCTCGGTTCCTTTTTCTATCTTCATGGCATCTTGTATAGCCAAGATTATTTCTTGCATCCTCGGACGGGAATATCCATGCTGTTCAACACATTGGATGGCTACTTCAGCAATTCTCCAAATAGATTCGATTTTGACATGTTCAATTAGAAATGGATCAACCATGCTTGTCACATCTCCTTTCCGTATCAAAGATCTTGCCTACAAAACAAGTTATTTCATTGTTGGTATCATTTCTCCATCAAATAATTCTAGATAAAGTTAATGACAATTTAGAAAGTTTACCCAGTGAACAATATTCAATTCAGCACCAAAATCTTTAACTGAAATTGGCTTTCTTCCAGAGATTAGTTCCAAAAGAACGACTCCGAAACTGTAAACATCACTCTTTTCAGTCAATTGTTGACTTGCATAATACCTGTTACAGCTTAAAATGATCAGCTTAGCGCATGGGGAAGGAAAAATATGATAAACCGTGCCTAAAAGTTATCCCTTTCTTACTCAGGATCAAGGTAGCCGACTGTTCCTCGTGCCATACTTGATACATGGGTTAAGTCTTCTTCGGCCTGCCTTGAAAGTCCAAAATCTGACACTTTAGCTCTCATATTAATGTCTAGAAGAATATTGCTTGTCTTCACATCTCGGTGAATGATACTTGGGTTGCAACCAGTGTGCAAGTAATCAAGGCCTACCAAAACCTAAAGTTATGTTATATACTCCAAAATCAAGCATTAATGTACCAACGGATTAAAAAGTTAAATGCCATACCTTTTGCTGCATCCCCCGCAACTTGTAGACGCGAAAGCCAATCCAAGCGCTTCTGATTGATTGAACCTGACAGCAGATTATGTCATGGATTTTCAGCTGTTTTAACTTATACTTAAACTGACAAACAGCCAGGAGAAGAAAAAAAAAAAAAAAAAATCGAAGGAAAAACAGATTGGTTTCTTAGTTCAGGAGCAAACCATGTATGTGATCCCGCAAAGTTCCATTATGCATATATTCATAAACTAGCATCTGCTGATTTCCATCTTCACAGTATCCAATTAGAGGAACCAAGTTTCTGTGATGAATTCTTGAAAGGAGTGCAACCTGCAAGTATGTTACTTGAGTTAATGAACAATATGATGCAGGTTAATTTTTGTAAGATTTACCTAATACTTAGATTCTTATTAATTACCATCCAATATTTGGACCTTTTGATAATTGATGATTTCATGTCAAGGTAGAAATCATGATATTATTAACCTTTTAGGCACATTGGTCTTTGGATTAGTGGTCTATATGTAGCACATGGCAAATTGCCAATTTCCAATGATCAATAGTCATTATAGTTTATAATATAAATATTTTTATTTGTCGGATTAGTTCAAACCACTAACTACTTACTTCAGACCTCTATTCCAGACACCGTACTGAAGGCATCTTTATCTGTGTTCATTTTATTCTCCCCCTTTTTATGCCAATAGTGAGCTGTTTTGGGTCATTAAGGACGCTGAGAATTTAGGAATTCATTACGGTGGCTTCTTATTTAGTTAGTCTTGGTTTTCTGGGTGATTTTATTGTCTATATAATTTGCAGAGTGGCAGTGTCTTCATTCTAAAAATAAAGACCATAAAATAACAGTAGAGAAAAACTTGCATGTGAAGGAGTATGTCAAGGAAGTTAAAGACATATAGGCATATAGATGAATCATGAACATAACACTACCTCTGTCACAAATTGCTGCTGACTAGATGAATCAGCCATTATTTTGACTGCCACCTCTTTTCCATCCTTCATTTTGCCATAGTAAACAGAACCAGAACTTCCTTTGCCAATCCTCTTACTAAAATTATTGGTGGCATTTCGTAGCTCAGACAGTGAGATGCAGCATGCTACACCTTCATTAAGGAAATGCCCACCCCGTACAATTGAATAGGCTGCTTCAGAATTGATACTATGCAAGGAACCTAATTTAAAAAATGAAAAAAAAAAAGAAAAAGAAAAAAGAGTGAATGTTAAATGCTAAGAGCCTGACAATGTAAGATGAAAAATACTGTAAGTGCACACACCTTTTTCATCCCTTCTTTTATGAGACATTTTTCTACGCACAAATAGCAAGCTTCCCAAGAAAAGAACTAAGAGAACTGCAAGTGCTAATATTGAAGCTCCAAGTATCAACTTAAAACGCATATTTCTTTGTGCTCCCTTAATTAATCCAGGATTGTCTTCATACCTGAAAGAGAACACAAGTAGCTGTTTGAAAGTTTGGTGTGAAAAATTACATAAAGAAATACTGACTTTGTTTTCTCAGCATCTGTCTTAAGTTCTTTCTTATATTTATGATGATTATTATTCTTGATTGAGTATATTATGGCAGTCAAACCATTCTACTTTATTGTCTACTGGTTTTTCAGGTGGAATATATGCAGTTCACTTAAGTATCTTCACAAGGGAATGATCATACATCAGAACAAAGAGGTGAATCCTCAATTCCCTGGAAAATAAGTTAAACTGCTCGCAGAAAATAAACCACGTTTTTTTTTTTTTTTTTTGGTATTAACCTCCTGTTATCCGATAACCACATTAGCTCTGACTAATCTGAAATCGAGCAACGTGAGACCTCATAAGGGGGAAGCTCTCCTAGTGCATGTTTCTCTATTTACAAGACTCGAACTCAAGATCTTGCTTAAAGAGAAATAACCTCTTTCCACTTGGACCAACAGGTCATTGGTATAAACCACTTATCTAAAGCTTAATAAGATATGCCTTAAGAAGAAGCATACTGACCTGAAAACCACTTTTCTATTTAGCAATGCTTGGGGTATTTCACCAGTAAAAGAGTTGTTCTGTATGTACCTGCAAAAATAGAATCCCAGTTATGAAATATTTAATAGAAAATATTGGAGGGGGCACTAGGAAACCCAATCACCCAAGTTGGATCAATTGCACCATATTTTCACTTAAACTACATGAAGATTGAATTGTTTATCATGATAGTAGAAATCATTAAAATAAGACTGCCACTTACAGTTCTTGTAAGCTTGGCATACTTCCCAGGTATGAAGGTAGTAAACCAGACAGTTTGTTGTTCTCCAAATGTCTGCATGTGCATCAAAAGATGAGGGTTGGAAACAATGCCAATATTTCATTAGAAGCTCAAATGAGAATACAAATTCTATTAATAACAGCATAATCTTAAAGAGTATCTGTGGAATTACACTGCAAAGTGGAGAGCTTACACAATCCTTAAATTGATCAGGTTACTCATATCAGGAAGTGGCCCTGAAAGGGAGTTGCTGTCCAACCACCTAAAGAAGATGAGACTCATTCACTTGTTTGTGATAGGATGGCATAGATGCAGAAAATTGAGGTTTGGCATAACATAACAGCACTTACAGCTCTGTCAATTCCTCCATGTTGTTAAGCTCAGATGGAATTTGGCCCCCAACATTTTGTCTTGACAAGGCACTGTTCAGCAAGTCAATATAAATCAATATCTGGTGCATCTCAAATGGTTATTTTTGCAGACTTTAAAAGAATGATCTTCTGAATACTTTATTTCAGTATTAACTCTTTAATACAAAAGACGCATATACTGATTAAACTCATTGCTAACTTACTTCATAAATCAATTTCTATGCGGAATAATTGAATCATAATGGTCGCTGACAATAGCATAGAGTTAAATATTTTTTAAATGCAAGCGTTGTACTTTGGCAATCCATCAAACTCTCCCATGAATATATAGAATTATCAAGCCAATACCAACTTGTAATAGATTACATTTTTGTTATTCTTGGGGGTGTGGTTGAGCTGCAAGATACCCATTCCCATTGAGCTGGAACACATGGATCACCTCCTTCATTTGCCCAGGCACTTCCGGCAGACATGTTGCAAAAGGCATTGAGAACAGTCACTGTAGGGGAACACATGATAACGACACATCAGCTCAAGGACAATCCTTCAATATTACGTGATACTGAGCAACATGATTAAACTCTGCAAGTCAACTATAACAGACAATATAGTAGGGCAAGAAGGCTAAAAAGATTATTAATTTGAAAATATGGTGAGAATATCTTACCATCTTGCCAGTCAGTTTTTGCAGCAATCTGCTGGTATTTACTTATCTCAATTGCATTGAGGAGTGGCCCTCGAGTAGAATCACTGGTCTTGTGAAAAGAAAATGACAGAACAAAACTCAGAGTCACATTCATGTAGCTGGGTTCATAAAGTCTGTAGCTCCCGTTGGCATTCTCAGCTATATTTACTACTGCATTGCTGTAGTCAGGCGTGTAAGGATCACGCAGTTTAAATTTTCGGGTCTCATTTGGACCCAAATTCTCAATTTCAGCAAAGTATGCATAAGCTCGGGCATTTGCAGGAAAATCTTTCAGGTTTAATCTGTAACTTAGTACTCCTTTAGTGCCAACAACTGCTGTTTGCATAACTTTAACGGGTGGATATTCTTTCGTATTGATGTCTACATTGTTGGATGTGTTGATTCTTTCTGTGCCAGGGGCTACATCCACAAGAAAATTTTCTCTTTTAACAAGATCTGACTCCCAGATTCTGTCATATGGATCATCAGGGTACCTGTAAAACAGAGGACCATTACTACTAATGGCATCAAATGACTATTTATTTTGCAGTAGAACATGCCATCATACAAAACAATCTAAAATGATATCTTCAAACCAGATCAGTCGCTCTCTTTTAGCTTTGTCTATCAAAATTGTCAATTACGTCTAGCAGTTTGCATTCAGAACTGAAAATCATAATAACGGTGGCAACTCCTTCCACCAATCTATTGTCAGGTGCAGAGATGAAGATGAATTTACCTTACAGAATCCCTACTTAGAGCACCAAAGTTTACTCTTGCTGCTACTTTCAAGAAGAAATTATCCTCATAATTTGTGGCATACATGGAAAGGTTCAAGGGCCGCAACTCAAGAGTGGATATGAAAGGAGAACCAGTTGTTGCACAACATATGCAGACATCAATAGAATTCAAAGGTGCCATGATGATCATTTCAGACACATATACCCTTGAAGCTTCAAAAATTGTCACAGTTGCCCACTCAGTTGCATCCAAGTAAAGCTCAAATTTTGGGTAAGTTTCTTCATTTTGCAGGATTCCATACAGAAATGTTGCTCGAACCAGATACCGCCTTCTCTCTTGGGTACTCAGAGTGTAACAGTACTTCTTGTTGTCTATTGGGAAGTCTCTGCGCCGTCGATACTGCATCATCAAGTTCCCACCAGGATTCTCCACTGCTACTGAGTTTCCATAGCTCATAATACCCATGTCTGAAACCCATCTTAATCCAGTACTTGGGTCAGTGTAGTTACTTGTGCTTCCACAATCTATACTGATAAACTCTGCAGAATGAATTTGTTTGGGCATTAATACAAACACATGGTCCTCATTTGAATTAAAACTAAGTTCACACCAAGACAAAATCTCTCCAAAACCCATAAAACACAAAGATTCAGGAAGTACATACCTGAAACTTGGCTCAAAACAGATGATGCTAACCATGGATATATGACAAGAAACAGTGAGAGGAAAGCCATTGAAGAAGACCCAGGAAGAATAGTAGGTTCTTTTGATGTCCTTCTGGAGAGTAATGTAATTTCAGAAATTGCTAAAAGCAAGAAACTGTGACTGAATTTGAGTTCAGCATCTTTCCCACTTCACCCCCACTCCAACTTACCTTTAACTTTTTTTAATTGATGCGTGTGGACAATGTTGATTCAAATTCAAAGCCATTTCCTTTTCCCATTTAAGAATCTCTTTACCCGAGAAAATCAAAACCTGAAGCTCCCAACCCAAGTCTCACCTTTGCAATAATTGAACATGACAAACACTATATATTCAACAGATAAAAAGGTTATATTACCATTTCTCAAAAAAAAAAAAACAGAAAAAATTTTACTGTTCCCCATTCATTTATGGTGGCCAATCCTGCTTAGTCGCAATCTAATCTGTCAAATACTTTTTTTGCTTTCTACAGTAACTCTTTTTATTGTTTTTAGAGCACTAAAAATAGGACAACCAAACTCTGCAATATAAATTAAAAAAAAAAAAAAGAGTTACCATAAAAAAATAAAAATAAAAATGAAGAAGTCTGCTTGGAAAGAGAAGGTTGGCCATGCAAAAAGCAAATCTAAAAGGAAAAGGTGTTGGCATGCATGGTCGGCAATCCAGAGTATTTTATTATTTGAAGATGTTATCTTTACCATGTTGCTTTTTACCATGTTAAGTGAAATTGTAAAATTATGATTATAATGTAAAATTTAAGATTTATTTATATAAAAATCTTATAAATTGTAGTTACATAAAAATTTAATTATTTTTTTTATTTTTAATATTTAAAATTTATTTTTTATTATTATATTTATTGAAAGTAATTATCTTTTTTACTAAAAAAATTATAATAAATCTCAATTATGAAAAATAAAAAAATGAATAATTAAAATTTTATATAAATATGATATATAAAACTCGTTTATAAATAGATTTCTCCTCGTGACATTATATCGTACACAATTAATTTTGTTTTTAAGAGTCACATGTAGTATTATATGTATGTATTAATTTAATAATATATAGTTATTATAAATTTATAATTTTACATAATATCATAAGTGCATATTATTTTATTTTTTATACAATAAATATAAATATTTTATCGCTTAATTTTTTGTTTACTTATTTGCATGTAATAACAATTTTTTTATTTGTGTCAATAATTTAAGAAATTTAATATTAATTTTTTTATAAAAAATATCTTCAATTTAGATAATATAATACATAAATAAGGTGACTGAAAAGAATAAAAAAAATTATGGCCCATCATACAACACAAGATCCAAAAAAAATCTCTTTTCTTGTTAATTTAGATCAACCTGTCTCTAGCTTTATGAACTTTATAAAAAGTACGTAGATTTGAGAGAATTTTATCACTTTTTAAAACTGGTCCCCATTCTCCATTGCAATCTATGGCTACTTTACAGTTAGAAATTTGGACAAATGGACACTGTAATTAATCTTCAAATCATGTATCTAGTAAATGATGTGGATTGTTGCAACTTGGAATTCCGACTTTAAATGTAATAGTGTAATGTACATTCTTTTTTCAAATTAAATTCTCTTTGAAAATTGATCATTCTTAAAAAACAAAAGATTTTAGAAAAATATTTTTTTAATCACAAGATGTACTTGAATTTGAAAAACTACTTATTGTGTAGTCTTTTACCTATCAATTTTTTTCAAAAACACAAAAGAGGAGCAACATCTTTGCAAATGCAATTTTGGTACAATATTGTGCAGACTATATATCCCAAAACTGAAAAATAAATATGAATATTCTTTTAATCAATAAGATGTACTTTACTTGGAATAACCTCCTATTTCCTTCCCCTTCCTCAATATTTATCTCAAATTAAGTAGATTCAAAGAATATGTGCGTTTGAAAATAGTGTACAATGTTGTAATTGACAAAAGATTATTAGGATTTTCCTGTTGATAAATTCTTTGATATTTTAAAAGAGAAGAGAAAACGGTTGAATGCATTAAGAAACAAAATAGGAGAAACTTCTCTGCAAGTGCCATTTTTGTACAATTGTGTGGTGAATATCAAAAACTGAAAAAGAAAGAATTCCCAATTCAATGCTAGCGTGGGAACAAAGTGATACAATATATCTGTTGGGCCCAGAAAGGCCAGAACCTAGTCGTTTTAGATTATAACTATCACATTAATGAGCTCATTTTTTAGGTTCAAATTCCGGTTAAATTGAACTCCACCAAACGAACC